ACGTGTCAGAGGTGATGCCCATGTCAGGGCTTTGCTTAACCTCGGTACTGCTCTTCAACGACCTGGTCATGGAACTGGGCTTCGCCTCTCAGCCCAGCTATGCCGAACTCAAGGCACCGCTCGGACGCCGGTGGTGGACGCATTCATGTGCGGGCGCAGCGAGGGATTCTGCGGCGCCAGATGGTCGCGTTTTGGAATCCGATTCATCCGTTTCACGTGGATCCAGCAAATACTTATTTAACATGTGTTTGATAGTATGTTTGATCCATCGTTTTGTTCTATGTTCGATCCATCGTGTTTTTTTTTCTCCGAAGGTTTTAATGCAACACTCCCACTCAGGTTTGCACCTGTTTGCATCCAATTCTCCAGTTTGTGCATCTGTGGGTCGATGGGCAAAGTCCTATCCATCCCGCAGCCTGCTGGCAGTGGAGGCCTGGAAAGGCTACTTAGCACTGAACATTTGCAACGCCTTTGTGCTGAATGTGCTCATCGCGGTGTTTTTGAAGCAGCTTGCTTAGAAGCTGGGAAGTGCTTAGATATGCTTAGATCTGTGGATCATCACGCAAAAGGCCTTTGGTTTGTTCTGTGGTTTCCATGGCCGGTGATACCATCGATGTGTTGACCTTCCCGATCCCCCGGCCTTCAGCGTGGCTGCCCTGTTCATCCTGCCTTCGATCCGATGCATCCGATCCCTGGCCGAGTGAGGTATTTGTCGCCGGTGTCCTACATCCTCACAGGTGCCACACCCGACGGACACAGGGGTCTATTTCGCCCGTCAAGGTGTAAGGAACGGGTGACCGGGTGTTGTTTGTCATGCCCTATGGATCCACATACCTTCTCAGAAAGTAATTGGATACTATTTATGTAGGCTTTGAGGGTCCAATTACCTTCTGAGAAGGTATGTGGATCCATAGGGATGGTTGATCACCATGTTTGGGGTGGAGAAAAGCAAGACCCTACAAACGTGCGAGAAGAGAGTGAACATCCTTGAAGTCGAAGGTATGATTCTCCTTGCAACTCCTTCCTGTGACTTGTGGACTGCCCAGCCTCACTCCCAGCTGGCCCTACAACTCTGACCCTGCCTACAGGCAACATCAAGGACATTTGCGTGGTTTGCATGCTCCTTGGTGTGTTCAGTAATTGCTGTAATTGTTGCTTCTTGACGTGTTTCAAGTTCCATGCTCCTTGGTGTGTTCAGTCACAGCCATACAGCCATGTGGGAAACACCATAGGTCACCACGGTGAAACAAGACTTGTATCCATACAGACATCAAGAACATGCCCCGCAAGACCACTGTTCGCATTCCAAGGTCTGCATTTCTCATCCACGAGGCGATCAGCGCCACACAAATTTGTGGCTTTACAGTGCAGGTTCTGTGTGTTTTCGCTTGGACTGGTGCCCCGGCAGCAACGTGGTGAGTGCGAGTGGATGTGAGTGGCAGCAGCTGCATGCATTTAGTGAGTGGTCTCTCAGGGTTGGCTGCAAGTTTTCTGCTCAACTTTGTTGAGGCAATCAGGTAGGAAAAGTGACTGGAGCATACTAGAGCCAGAAACAGCATCAAACACTGCTTATGACAAGCGCCTGCTTGACATGCAGTTGTTCAACGACCATTGGATGATTCACATGTTTCTCGGTCGTTTGCGCCTTGGGGGTGATTTCACCTGAACAGTCGGATCGGATCGTAAGCTTTTGGGAGGGAGCTGTCAGTTGAACCCTGAAGAAGCTCCGGCCCATCAAACTAGTCCCAAGCAGACCCAAGCTGCAGGCTACAAGCAGTATGCGAGCTCTGTTGAAGATGCGCAAGAAACAGAAGCCGATTCCAAAAGAAGTTGAGCGCCCCCAGCGCACGTAGGGCGCAGCTGGGAGGACCACTGGATTTGCTAAATGTTTTTAGCATGCTTGCTGGATGTCCAGCTGCATAGGCTGGTTATATAGGTTCTTTTGAACCCAGCACGCTGACAGTATCGGGGAGTCTCTTTCCAAATGATTTTTGTTTGCAGATAGGGGGCTACACTGTATGGTTAACTACTTGAGGTTAACAAGCTAGGCACAATTTGGATACTAAATGGTTTTGTATATATGGCTACGGCCAGAAACATAAGACTTGGATCACACACCCAAACCCACACACGATCCATACCTCGATCCATAGGGTATGGATCAAAAGGTGGGTGTGTGATCCAAGCCCTTGGATCACACAACTACTAGTGCTACCACTGCCGCAACAACAACCACAACAACAACTACTACTACTGCTACCTTTGCTGCTACTAGTGTTGTTGCTGCCACCACTCCTACAGCTACTGCCACTACACTTGCTACCACTACTGCTATTACTACTACTACTACTACTCCTCCGCCTCCTCCTCCTCCTGCTGCTGCTGCTGCGGCGACTGCTACTCGCTACTATCACTAGCATTGCCACCACCACAGATTTAGCGGAAGCCACTAGATGCAACTTCAAATTGACTTCCCATTTTGGCAAATAGAGTTAGTGGCTTCCGCTCTAACCATTATGCTATGGAAGCCTCTGAGTGGAGGATCCGACCCAACTAGACGATATTAAAGAAGGCGCCAGAAGACAAGATAGTGGAAGGCCAAACAGAATTAGCGGAAGCCGGAAGCCACTAACCAGTGTTTGGAGCGAGCCTCCAATCTAGAGAGCTGCTAAGCCACCACCTATTAAATGACTTGAGAGCCCGCTGAATCACGAATTTGCGTGGCTAGCAAAAAGCCTTTTTGTGCTTCTTGTATCGTCTTCTTGAGCCAAAACAAAGGCTGGAGAAATGAGATTAGTGCCCGAAAACTTTAATCCGCAAGGCCTCTTGTTAGCCCAAGAGGACCCAACCATGGCCCAATATGAATTTAGCGGCGGCCAGTACTTCAAAACAGGCTTGCCACAAACAGGATGGCTTTGATCGAACTGGTGAGAAAGTGGTGGGGTGGAGCGCCACCATGCAGATGTGTCTATATCGGGGGCTTGGATCAAGTGACTTGTCGGTTTGATCCATAGGGCTTGGATCAGCGCTCTGATCCATAGGGTTTGGATCACTCTCGCTGCAGCGCGGAACGATCCATACCAGGGTTTCTGGCCGCACCCATATATGTATACACATATTTTATGTCCCTCTACCAACCGTGCCCCCTCGAAGGAGCCAAGCGGTGCTAGCTGCTGTACCTGACTGCTCTTGCTCAGAGAAAATATGAGACTCTGTGGTAGAGCCATCATCCACGTCGAAGACGTGCCAGCGACCTGCGGGGATGGGAGCCGATCGGTTCAAGCTGACTTGGATGGGTAAAGTCTGGGTTCCAGGGTTTTGGTGACCTCAAAAACATGATTAGTTGACTCCCATCCACCAGCGGGAATTGTTGTTGCACGTCCATGATGGTTTACTTCTGATTCGATCATGGCTGCAGCTCTTGAAACTCAGCCCCCAAGCACTTCAAACTCGTGCAATCTCCAGAAAAAACATGTATTTTGATGATATTTGCAAAAACCATTTGTTTTTAATGATAACCAGGTTTTCCTGATTGGTCAAGGGATTTCCCAGGTTCACCCTCAAAAAAAGTAGGTAAGCGACGCACTAGGTAAGTATTTCTCATGACGTCTCTGAAGGTAGGTGCCTTCAGCAAGTCAAAGGCTCCAACAAGTTTTACTACTTCTTGTGATCACATGCAGGCGGAGGCTTTGTGCAGGTCACGTGCACGTTCATGGATCGAGGTGGAGAAAACCCCTCGGTTTGGGAAAAGATGCAACACATCCAAGAAGTCAGTCAGCCTGGATTTTTCTTCTGTACGAATGTTTCTTTTTGTTTTGGCTTTTGTTTGGGAAGCCTTCTACAAAAATCGACCTTTGCGAAGTAGTCGGCAGCCCGCAAAGCAGAACCTAAGAGGATGTAAGAGGGCTGTTGGACTTCTGAGAGGAAAAACGCCATGTCAAGAGATTGAAATGGGTTCGCCTTCGAAGAGGTTAGTGTTTTATACCATGCACCGATCGATGGGTTAGGTCCGGTTCGGTGCATACTTCTCAGGTCTTTTTGTTGTCCAACACTTTGTTAGCCTTCGGTGGATTTGCACAAAAGTTTTTGGTGGAAACAGATGGAACATCATGGAACTCTGACTGGTTAAGATTGGTAGGATTGACATTGATCAGACTCAATGGTGGAGAACCCTGATCCAGTTTCTCTTTTGGTGATTGTGAGTGCGGAAATTCCAGTTGCAACACTATGTTCGAATGCCGGACGGGTCACAAATATGCTGCCGCTATATGTTCTTCCAATTGGCCTTGGGGTTCGTCCCCTACGTAGAGATATACCATCAGCTTGTTACAAAGGTTTTCATGTTACCAAACATGCATGAGTCGCTTCCCAGCAGATACTACGTGCCGTGTTTCACTGTTTCACCATGGCAGCATGGCTTCGGTGAACATGTGTGCACTTGCGAGCAAGGTTGGAGTGTTCTTTGGCCTGTAAATGCTGATGGGCTAAAACATGCGGGATTCAGGAAGCCTTGTGGTCCGCTTAAGGTATACACTTCTTAATCAAGCATGCCCGCACCTTAGTAGGATGGATACATCCAAACATCCAAAACTACTAGCTATCTTTTCGGTAGATACGACTAAATGCGACTGAGTGCCGTACGGTCCGGCACTTGTGAGCGCCTGGTGCCACACCGGTGGACACAGCGCCACAGCGGTGGCACGGTGGACACGACCCAGACGAGAAACGGGTGGTGGAAGTCGGGGGTCTTTCTGGGGTGGCAGTCCGTCCTGGCAGGTGCCATGTGTCGTGTTTGGGGATGATGTTCTTTTGAATTTAATGTATTTCAGACATGTCTTCGGGGCAGCAGACAGATCATGACGTTGGGTCTACCGGGCCGACCCGTATCCGATCCGACCGCCGTAAGCCGCCGTCGTTTCGCCACTCGCCACTCGCCTGAGAGAGACGTTCGCATGGCGCGAAACGTTCACGGAGCCCTGCGATCCTTCGGCCTCTTTCAGGTCGTTCTTCGGCATCAGCATGTCTCCAAGGTGTTCCGAGCCTCAGATCCTGACTGCGATTCTCGCTGGCTGGTCTCTGACGTCGACCGAAGGTGGAGAGGATCAGGTGATTTGAATGAGGCGGACTCAGGAGAAACCTGAGGCCGAAACCGATGAGGAGAACAAACACACAAACACAAGGTTTGGAGAAACCTCCCCAAACAGAGTTAGTGTAATTGGGTCATAAACTCCTTGCAGTCGATCCACGCAGAGGCCATCCTTCGTCCGCTCCGGAAGACAGGTAATTCTGTCTCATTCCCTAGGGATCCAGTCGTACCGAACCTTCTCAGAAAGGCACCTCAACCCTCCAAACCCACCCACCCCAGTTCCACCTTCACCTGAGGTTCGGTACGACTGGATCCCTATAAGGATTCAGTTTTAGAAGTGAAATCATGCCGGGGCCGTTTGTCGCAAAGTTCGACGTTTGTCGCCCCCGCCCGAGGCATGCGGTTTTCGTCCTGCAGACCTTACCAGAGGCCCAGAAAGCCAACGGAAGGTTGCCTCCTTGGGTGCTTTGTTGACCGTCACTTTCCAGTATCAAGGTGAGTTTTGGATGTTCCCGAATTGGTGAAATCCTCCAAACCTTGGCGAACATTTATGAATATGTCTTCTTTTCTATAGGTTCCTAGACCCATCCAAGCGAGCTCTGGGTCCTGCTGCTCTGGCAGGGTGCTGGCGACATGCTGCTGATGCAAGATTCTTCGTCCAACGGCACCTGGATCAATGGCATTCGCATGGTGTGGGAAGCCTCAACCGCCCGAATGTCAGGTGGTCCGCGTGCGTGTGGTCGGTTCTGGGTAAACCGTACGTTCGGTTTACCAAGCAGGGTTGGTGTTGGACTCCAACCCTTCTGGAAAGACTCCAACCTTGGGTCGTCAGGCTGTGATGAGGTTCTACTTTGCTCTAATGAGTCTGGTTGAACATGATTGGGCATCTGGCCTCCCAGTCCGACATGTTTGGAGAAAGTTCTGCACCAGGGAAGAAGAAGCCCTACACGGACATCTATCATCATCTATCCACCAAAAAGAACAACAATGGAGCAGACATGAAGGGGGTAGCTGAGCTGTGTAGCTTCCATGATGAACACCAACAGGTAGCTTAACAGGTAGCTTCAGCTACGTCTCGTTCTCCCCTTTGCCAGATGATCCCTTGCATCTCCCATGATACAACCAATGGCTACCGGCTACCTTTTCACCCCTCAAACCCGGTGATCGCTAACCACCGCTTTGTTCCGAGGCCGGGCCGGTTCCAACAGCTTCAACCGGGTGACAGGCCGGCTTCATCCACGGAGGAGGGTGAGAAAACATGCTATGAAAACAAGTGTGGTGGAATCGCTGTCATCTCCCCCTTACCTGGTCAGAAAAGCGAAGAACAACGATGTGAAGCTGTTGACACTTGCAGCGCAGCAGGAAGGTGATGGGATTTGGCACCATGATGTTAGTGATGCTGTATTTATACCTGTTTTTTGCAGTGCTACAGTGCTACACGTGCAGATACTTGCTCAGTCAGCCGCTACTAGTAGATTTCAACTTACATTAAGTTTCTTAAATCTTTTAGGAATTGGCTGTCCCACTCCGAAACATGCAAAGGCAGGAAGAGGTGAAGCATGGTGAATCTCTTTTTGCAGAGAAACTGCAAGAATTTGCCATCAGGTTGTGATAAATGATGTATTATGTATACTGTCCGTTCTTGTGGAGAAAATGGGCCACAAATGTTGGTTTGCAGACACGTATTTCCACGACACAAGGCCAGGGTATTGTTGTTGTTAGATACTGTGGCTCAAGTCAAGAGGAGGTTACAAACATCATACCGAGCCGAGAGGCGGGTGTAACGTTGGATTTTTGCAATAGCCGCCTGCTGGCGCGACGGGTGATGGATCCATATAGCACGAAGGTTCATGCGACGGGTCACCTATATTACGTACTAAATGTCGTTCTTTCTTCACTAATTTGTAGTGCGGCAAGGGTTGTGTTTGTCCTTTCTGTTGCCTTGGAACATGTTCGGGAGCATGTGCTTGTGTACAACCTGCCAAGCCATTGCCATTTAAGAACTCTTCAGCTAGATGCTAGATCTAGAGACCTGTTCAGATCCGTACTTCTTTGAGAGTGGTTGCACACTGTTTGCGTAAAAAGGTTCCGCTTACGCCCTGCTCGCGTCTCCAACCAAAACAGCCGCGCGCTGAGGGTCTCATTCCTACAGCCAACAACGAGCTTGGAGGAGGATGTGGCGACCTGGGAGGCAGCTGCTAAGACTTGATAGTGGTATATAGTGTGAATGGCCGGGGTCGAAAAGCTCTTGGCTTATCCTACTTATGAGAGTTTTGTCCAGTGGGCAAGTGTGGCGGGGATCAGTCAGTGCCAGATGCACATGGCTGCGAGCCGTTGTGAATCAGGCCTAACCAAAGCATTTGGATGACTCAGTCCTTTGGCCCAGTCACACAACACATATAGTTGTATCCTGCGAACGACCCAGACAGTGAATCATGTTCACAGATTTGGTTGCTCCGGCCACGGGACCGGAAGCCACTGGGGAAGCCGGGGTGAGTTGGCAAGGCTCTAAAAACTGGGCCTTTTGCGACTTTGTGTATGATGTTCCTTAAAAACATTTCTTAGAGGATTCCAGGTTCAGCCCATCCATTCACTGCAAGGGCTATATATATAGCAGATGTTTTTTTACATGGACAAACCGACAAAGCCGGAGGTCTTACTTAGCTGGTGAAACGGCCAGGTGTTGGCCTGAAATCTGTGAGACGACACGGGTGACCCCACTGCGCCTTGCGCTCTACTTGCCACGCAAGGAACACATGTGGCATGCCAAAAAGGGTCAACACACACTACTGCGGTTGGTGGGCAGTTCGGAGCACTCTGAAGTGGAAAGGCACTGACGAAAAATGAACAACAAATACATGGAACAGCCAGAAGTAGCAGAGGGTGGACCCCCATAGCCGTCCATCCAACTGAAAACATGGTCACAGTGGACCCGTGTGATGAGCAGACCCGACGATCCGTCTGAAGAATTACGAAAGGGCCACATGGTCTCCCTCGTAGCCGGGGGGCAGGAGACTGTTTGGCATTCCACTGCAAAGCCTGAGTTGGCACTGCTCGGTGAAAACGAGAAAGGTCACGATCCTCATCAGCAGCACCGCGAACACAGGGCACTGCGCATGCCACCCTGAACTTCAAAAACAAACAGGTAGAGGATGGGGATCGCCAGCATTCTGTTGGAAGGTTTGCGTAGGCTGCACACCAGCATTCTTAGCGGATGTTTTTGTTGCTGCAAGAATCCGGCCAGTCGCATTGATCACCGCAATGACCAACGCGGTGTGGCGGGCCATACCCAGAACACAGGAAACCAGAAGCCTTGGCTAGGTTGGGGGCCATCGCTAGTAGGTTGGAGGCCATCGCTCTTTGGTCGGAGGCCATTGCTATTAGAAACAAAGAAACAAGACCAAAGGAAAATGACACCTTTCTACTAGGAACAAGAAGCTACGAACGGAGGATTCAACGGGCATCGCGAACCGAACGGAGCGTGAAGTCACGCTACGGAACGGGGCGAAACTGGCCTTACTATTAGGAGCAATGTTTGCTATCAATAGCAACCATAGCCTCTTGGTTGATTGAATCTGTCCCTCGCGCTTGATGGATGCGACCTCCAGGTCCGTCGGGATGCTTCGGTGGCCTGGGGGCCCAAGGGGCTCATGAAGCTGATTCGGATTTCGACTCGATTCGCTGGTTCTGCCAGTTCTGCCAGGGCTATTAATGGTGACGGAATGGGCAACAGTGCAAACATACCACAGCAGTAGGCTGGGACAGTGGATCTTGACGGTGTCGCAGTGGCGACGAGAAACAGATTCATGTTCATGATTGTTCATGCTTTGGCGGAACGACCTGCAAATGATGAGCTTTCTGACGCCAGTGCCCAATTCCAGCAATATTGGGACTTTCCAATTCCCATACACTCCATGTCGGAATATATGCCTACATTGACCCCCAAAGCCACCCCAATGTAGGCATATATGGCATACATGGAGCGTTTGGGATTTGTGTGTTCTTGTTTTTCTGTTTATCCCTCCCATTCCTATCCATTCTCCCCTTCACCTCACCAAGTCAACAACTTGGGTGGTTAACGTGACCCATGTGAGGTGGTGCAACCTGCAGCGAAACCGGCTGCAGCGACACCGGCTGCGGAAACCGGGCCTTTACCAGTCCCTCCTGCTCGGACTCGGGGCCCACTGCAGGTGAAGAAGGCAAAACGAATGACGTTTCTGTACATGCACACGAAACTGCCTCGAAGCAGTCGAGTTAAACAGTTCGCTTGTCCGAAATGACTGGAACGCATGACTGGCATCGAATGCTCGCCTGGATGCCAAATGATGCCAAATGGCTAACTCGGAGAGGGCAATGAAGAGAGAGAGAGAGAGAATCTTGGATGTTCGGAGATCATTCCCTGTCTTATTCCCTGTCAACAACACAATCATTCCCAATCTTAAATAGAGAGAAGGGCCAAACAACTCCTCTCATTCCCTCGCAGCCCCCCAGCCCTGCCAGGCGGAGACCGATGAGATCGATGTAGTGGACGGTGTGGCGAGAGCGAGAGCGACAGTTCCGGCCGCTTGGCGAAGAGATTGGACGAATAGGTTGGACGTGTTGCTCCTTCGATGGGTTCTTTTCTGCATGCTGTTGGATGCTGGCACTACGCTTCGATGATTGACCCAGCCAAGCAGTTGACATAGTTCACTCAAGAAAGAACAAGAACAGAGACCTGCAGACCAACGAGCCAGCCTTGGACGTTTTCCAAACTTCGGTCGCACGGTGACCTGAAGACTGCGAGTGTCGCGTGCGACGTATTCAATGGGCCCTCTCACAGCCTAGAATCCGCATTTGAAACTCTTATTCCCCTTTGTTGGGGTGATGTCCCATTGCTTTGTTTCACATGTGCTAGATGTTATGCATTTGTTTGCGGGCAAGCGCACTAAGCAAGATCAGCTATTAAACACGAACTTGCATGGCCTCTCTTTTTCTTGACCTGTCAAACCATAGATGGCCTGATGCCCCTCTTGGTTGCATAGAGAGGATACCCCGGGTTGTGTCTCAGCAAGTTCGGTACATGGCCGGTGATCCCTTGGGTGCGGAGCCCAGGCCCCAGCACCACCGCTGGAGAAGCCCTTGCAGCAGGGCAAACAGGCCAGAGCGGGAGCTTGCCGAGGGGGTGGTCAGGGTGGGGGTGAAGAAGCGGGAGGTTGGAAAAGAGAACACGGAGACCGTAGACCACAAATGTCACAAGATATTCTGAATTATGTATATACATTATATATAATGTATATCTATCACGAAAGCCAGCCGATAGGCAAGGCTTGAGGCAGATTAAAGGGGTGGGGGTGGTCGCGAGGTGGCCAATTTCGGAGAGGTGAACCCAGAGCCTGGTGGGGGAGAACGAAAAAAAGATGTGGGCCACTTGGTAGTGAAAATGAGTTGTTTTTGGGGGTGTTAGGATGCCGGTGATGTAATTGACGGCCCGTAGTGCATCATCAGCATCATGAAGGGCTCAGGAGGCTATAGAAAGAGAACAGATTGTAGTTGCGGCTAAGCTTAGCGTTGCTGCCGGACTGAAGAGGGCACTCCCTATGCGGTGGGAGTTCACGTGGATTGGGGGGTTGTTGAGGGCAGGAGAGAGAAGAGATTGCAGCGGGCAAGCGTTGAAGGTCTAGTTACTAGACTCAAAAGGGCACCCCATATGGGGTGCATGATGCCATTTGTTGAGGGCCTGCGAGAGAACTGGAGGGAGTTCACGTGGAGTGGGGGGGTTGTTGAGGGGAGGAGAGAGAAGAGATTGCAGCGGGCAAGCGTTGGAGGCGGAAGGTTCTGAATAGCTTAGGGGTGCCCTTTTTCACCGAACCAGGACGAAAAAGGGCACCCCGTTTTAATTCTACCTTCTGTTTCTACCTGCGATGCCAACTTCCCCCCATAAACGTACTCTTTACATAATGTTAGCCGATCACTTCATCTTACACATTCAAGTCGCTCCAATATCAACCTCACCACTTTTTGGCTACTCTTCGTCCACTCTACCTACATACATATATGTATCCTCACCTACCCTATACCCATAGCCTCGGAAATGGAACTCATTGATTCGCAACACGCCGCAGGCAAGCGCGCCTCACTTCCTTAGGGGTGCCCGTTTTCACCTCCAAATCGTCCCTGAACCGAGACGAAAAAGGCACCCCCCAAATCTATATGTCTTGTACTTTCTATTTCTACCCCCTATGTGTGTGCCTGCGATGTCAACTTCACCCCATGAAGCTAATTTTTGCCCGATGTTACCCCATCACTTCCTCTTGCACGCGAAGTCTTTGCCCAGGCCTGCCCTGAGGGCACCCCCTAAGCCAGAGGCTGGCTTTCGTCCCCTCCCTTCTTAGGTATATATTATAGCGGGACAGTTATATATATTTGTTTTTTTAGTTTTACGTTCATAAGCAAAGCACGTGTCCGTACAAATGGGTTCAACGTTTGATAGCTCTAGACTCTAGAACTTTGGCACCCCAAGTTGGTCAGCCCAATGATGGCTGCTGCGAACAGATGATTGGCAGATTATGTCTAGTAATTTCTTGGAATCTGATATTGAAGGCCCTTTAGCAGAAGTCATAGTTATATAACTGTTTCCCCCATTTCCAGAGTCTGTCAAGCAGTTCTCAGAAAGTGGATGAACCCAAGTCCTTGGTGTATGGATGGGGTAGTAACCTCTTTGATGCGTCTGTATGTGGCTGCGGCCCGAGGACCAATTTGTTTTTCAGATGTTGATTGAGCTTGTGTGGCTACGTCATGCTGGTTATTTAGGTGGCACCAGACGTGGAGAAGGCCAAGGTCACAGATGCAGCTCGGAGACACATTTAGGGGAAGGAGTGCAGCAGATGCTTGTTTCATCATGTTACATGAACCAGTCTGAGGCCGCATGGCAGCATGTTTTTTCCTGGTTTTTAGTGGGCATGATGCACGAGGTAATCCGGTCTGGCTCCATGGTCCCAACGTTGGTATGTGGCATGAATCTTGCATAACGCCTGAAACATCCTAAAACATCCATGTTTTCAATATGTTTTTGCTCAGTTCCTGAACCATGACACCTTTTGAGAAGGCCAAAAAAGGAGGGTCTCCACCAGCTTCGACCTTACTGGTGGATACTCCAAACTCGCCAAGCTTTGACCCAGTCGGACCCGGCGCGTTCGGTCAGCCTAGCCAGCTTAGCCATGACGGACGCTCGGACCAGCCCCCCCCCACCACGCAAGGTCGGAGCACCGGGCGTCGCGCCGGGCGGAAAGGTGACGCCCAGCAGCCAACACGCGGACCGCACGTGCCGCACGACGGAGGCCAGAAAGGTGACGCGGCTGGTCAACAGCTGCGGCTGACGCGACTGACGTGTGGGTTGGGTGCGTGTGTGTGGGGTTGTGTGTAACTGTTCTTATGTATTAGAAGTTCATATACTTACACATCGACAAATGTATGTATATGTATATATATATATATATGTCGATGCAGTGCATGTGAAAGTGAGTGAAATTAATAGAGATGATGAGGCTCCAGATTGACCGTGATCCATCTACTGGGGATTTTGGGATCAGATGTTTGTTGGGTGAAAAAAACCTCAGTTTGGGTGATAGAGTGCTGAATTTTGGTGATAATTTTCATGTTCATACAGAAGGACGCATCAGGGCCCCCAATGAGGTCCTTTGTTTTCATTGCATGTTATAAGGGGATGCATTTTTGCTGTGAAATCCGAGGCTGCCAAGAAACCAGTGGCAAAGGCGGCAGAGGCACTGGTGTTTTCTTGTGTTTGCCTTATGTTGTTTCTGTTTTGCCTGACGTTGCTTTCTTGACTGATTGTTTGGTGTGCAAGCCAGGATTTCACTGGTAAGAAGTTTCTTGCTTATTCAAAACCCATCGGCGGGGGGTCTTCCTCATTTCTGGACTGACCCCCGTTTCCCTTTCACTTTTTGCTTGATTTCAGCTTTGCTCCTCACTCCGTCTCTGATTCCGAGATCGTGCGAGCGACCGACTTGCTCGCAGGCAACACAGAGCGGCAAGTCGAAGCCGCCAAAGAACGATGTGGACCCTCTCGCTGCCGCTGGGTTTCATGGGTCCATCGGTCAATCCGTGGATCCGTGGGAGTACTTCCTCATGTTCAGAAAGGCTTGTTTGGCTCCTGAACACGTTCAAAAACAATCAAAAAGATTTGATCACCTGAATTTCGCCCAGGCCCAGGCGCCTAAAGCTGCCGCCAAGGCTGCAGCCTTTGTTCTTTAACTGATCTTCACGGCAAAAGCAAGATAAGACTCGTTTTGGGGTGCAGTTCAAGAGGGGGAGACTCGGAGTCAAGAGGACACTCAGTGTGTTTGCCTTCACGCCATGTTCATCCATTTTCCAAGTCCGACTTGGCAACTTCCTCATCTTGAAGACACAAATTTATCCAATGTTTTCCGTCGACTACTCTCACCTTTTTCTGTAGCCCACCACATATATAGAGATCATGCGGCGAAGCATGCAGGCACAGAGTGGCAAGCCGAAGCCACCGAAGAACGCTGCGGACCCTGTCAGAGTGGCTTGGTCAAGACAAACCGAAAGGAAAACCATGTCGCGATGGCTGACTGCTTCTGAAATGGAACCTGCTTAAGGCTGTTCTTTGTCTCAGGAAAGTCCGACTGTACATAGCTGACTGCTAGAGATGCCCTCGGACACGTCCTGTGGGGCAACTGCATTGACGGGTTGCCCTGCCAGTGGACCAACCGCTGCGACGAGGCCCAAGCAGCCAAAGCCGCACCGAAAGCTGCCGCTGGGCGCCCCGTACGGCGCACCGTGCCTGAGCCGCCGGATGAGCCGCCGGAGAAGAAGGGTGCCAAGCGCCAAGCGACGCCCGAGGGGATGAAGATACGAGCTGCAGTGACTTGGATTCTATAATGAAAACATGTTAAAGCTATGGAATGCGGAGGTCCGCATTTCACCCACTTGCTCTCCTAATTTTGCTTCGAACACGTGTCACCCCCCAAAAAAACTGCTTCAGCTCCCAGACTGGACCGCACGATCCGAACCCACCGGCCCAATGGTCCTCCTAATGCCCCTCCTCTTCGTGAACATGAGACATGAAAACCGACGCCATCGACGTCCCGCCATCAATGTTTCATGAACCGTCTCGGCGGTCTTCGCAGCGAGGCCAAGACCCGCCCCGAGCTGCGCAGAGGGCGCGAGGTCGAAGCGGACATGGAGGTCGAAGCGGAGCCGTTGGATCCGGAGGCCCTGGCGCAGGCCGGAGGCGGAAAGGCAGGCCACGAAAGGCGGTGTTTGAGATGCTTATAACGATGTTTACTATGTTTACTGTGGTGATCTAGTTATGAGTTTCATGGTGTTTCATGTCACTGTCAGCAGCTTGTTCTCATTCGGTCAAGTAGTAGTTTTCGTAATTCCTAGCTCAAGCTCTATGTTGCCGTCGCTCGGAATCCTGAGAGCAGACGCTGGACTAGATGCAAGATGATGTTTTTTTGTTTCCCCCTTGGCTTCTGGCAGTATATCCAATGGCTGACTTCGAGCTAAGGAGTTACTTCGGTACCAGTTGATCAGTGGCTAGCCGCTCTTCTTTGTTATCTGGCATAGTTGCCTTGAAGAAATTGCCTCAACAAACTGTTTCTAGTTGGCTTCTATTGCTGCCTCCAGTAGGTTGTCAATTATATTTATTTCTTGATCATGTTGATTTTTCAAACATGATCAAACGCCCAGTTCTGCAATGTTATATATATTTATGTTTCAAGGACAGTCCTGGCAGGCAGCACTTGTGGTATATTTTTGTATACATTATGATTATATAATTGATTAAGCCTCGTATGAAGGGTTCGCCCACCACCGTTGGTTGCAGGGCTACGCGGCGCTGGCTGCGGCCTATGCACAGGCGGCCGCTGAGGAGGATCGGACGCAGGTGGAGGTGGGAACGCATGGAATGATCTGGCAAGTTGCAGGTCGGATGTGCTTTTTTCTCCTCACACTTGCGATCTAGTTGGGCGACCTCAACTTCCAGTACGTGCCCGTGCGTGCGTCGTTTGATGCCTATGTCCAGGTGCCGGTGTTGGCGGCGGCCGCGGCGGCTGCTTTGAAGAGGGAATCCTTGTGACTTGGACGCCCAGCAGTGGACAAGGATTAATTTAAGTGATTAAGACATATTATTTTAAGACCTTCCAGTGGACTAAGATAACCCCCAGCGAGGAAGGGACAGGTAGTTGTCCAAAGGATTCTGGCAGGAGGCTATGATAGTTTGTTGTAGTGTACTTACAACAGCCATGGGTGCCAAAGTATGATCAGTGGCCCTAGAAAGTACCTCATCAAGATCACCGGATCACTGGGTTCGGGTCCATTTGATTGAAGGTGCCGAAGTGTGATCAGTAGCCTGCGTCTCTCAACGAATTTCACCTGTGACAGTTTAGTACGAATGCCCTCAACTATCCCTATCAACCATGAATCCAGTCGTACCTTCTCAGAAGGTGGGACTGGGGTGGGTGGGTGCCATTGTCGGGTCCGGTCATGCCTTCTGAGGTTCGGTACGACTGGATCCCTAGGGCCTATCAACCCTGAACACCAGTTGCAAGGCCTGCCGTGGCCCCTCCGCCGCCACCGCCACCGCCACCGCCTGTGCCGCCATGGCGCACGGAGTCCGGGAGCCCAGCCGTGAACTGGCGCAGGCGACGCGGTCGGTCTGTGGCCGATAGGTCCCAGCAACAGGACAGAGCTTGGGATGTTTCATAGAAGAGTTCTGGAAGTTGGTTGACTACCCGGGAAGGCATGACTACAAAAAGAACTCCCGTACATAGAATTACTGCACATAATATGCAAATATGTTTTTTCATGTGCAAAAATACTTTAAAAAAGGCTTACGAATTTGCAGACAATACATCCTGGTGTATCTCAAACAGTAGGGATCACTTCTTCATGGGGTTTGGCCCTTACAGTATCTTACAGTGTGATTGCTGCCGTTGGCCGTTCTGCTCTCCTGCGCAGGCCGCAGATCTTGCCGCCACCGCTCAAACGGCCGCGCGTGGAAACGCCGAGCCAGGCCTGCTGGAAACAAACGCGGGTAGCCGAGTGGGTTGCCGCAGCAGACAACTTGATAGACCAGAAGACAGACGCACAGATTATGACACCTATTATGCCAGACACTTTATGTATATTGCATGTATGCAATGGCCTTGGCCGAACAATGTCCCATTTAGATACATTGACCCCGACTTCAACCACCCCGACATGAAGCCCAGACAGCCTCGTCACATCGTGACGCCCGAGACTTGACCGTCCGACCATGTCGTTTGGACGTCCGATGGGGTCGGAACATGGAAGTTCTTGGATGAAGCACTCCGGTGTATGGAACATGTCTCCATGTATGGGTCACATAACTTTAATGGGGTACAGGTGGTTTCAGAGGTTTGATGGTACAACAGAAACAAGTTTGGTTAATTTATGTTTATAAGGATCTCCCCATCCAAGTCAGACATCGTTGGTTTTGTGCCATCTACTTCATGAGAACCATGAGACCACTGTAAATGTATATGCGCTATTATGCGCTTATTTCATATGGTGGATGGTTTGGACTACACCGGGGGCACTGCAGCACTCCAGCAGGTTCCTGTGGGCGTTGCCATTCAGGCGGCGGGGAACTTCCTCAGCCGGAAGTGCCCAGGGAACAGAGCTGGTGAACATCATGCGACGACCATATTGATGCACCTCTTACTATATGATGCACATGTGACACATGTGTGTTTGTTTTTTTGTACGTCTTACTTTTTTGTACAATATATGCGTGTTTCAAAAAATAGGATTTCTGGATGACTTCGCTGTTCGTTCCATTTTGCGCGATTTGTACATGGCTTCGGGGTGTTTGTTCATGGTAATCCCTTTTAAACTGTTCGCGAACACCAAAGCAAAAACTGTTGACCTTAATATGAATTATTGATTAGCCTGCGGAAAAAAATAGAACAAGAACAAGTGCATCACCATCATTCACCATCGGCGTTTGTGGGCGGTTCTCCCAGACTCCCGGGGCCCCAGCCGTCTGACCTCGGGGTCGTTTTCGCCTGGAGGCCTTTGAGCCGAAGCGGTCGGTGGAACAAAAAAGCCGAGGTCAGATGCGCCAGCTGAAGCCCAAGGTTTGTCCGGGACACCTGGTGGAAATGAACGGCACCTGGACGCGAAACAAGCAGAAGACAGAGATGAGTTGGCTGGGTTGGTGTCAAAAGCAATGAAATTCCCGTGGTAAGTGTTGAGTCTAACACATCTATGGGGATCTATGGGGTCAAGTTTGGCACGCTTTGTTGGGCAGTGCGATGCTCTCCATGCGTAATTATACGGACTTGGCAAAACTCGTCAACTGCGTATAGACTTGCGGCGATTGAAGCGCATGGGCAGTTGCACCGTATAAGCAGCCTCTGTAGTGGGGCTATCTATCCAAACACTCGATGTATTTTATGTATTGCATATTTAGACACATTGACCCCTCAAGGTAAATATGCCGTATATGGAGTGTTTGGATATAGTTGTTTGTTGTATGTTTACTCGTTCCGCATCGCCTCACGCCATGATGGCCCCTTTCGTCGACTGGCAAATTCCATGTTAAGGGATCAGGATGATCAGCTTCATGCTGATGTGGCCCCATGTCCCCCCGGTTTCAAACAGGAGTCAGAAGGCAAGAACGTCCCGGCAACGAAGAGCGCCAGAATTGTCTTAAGGACACTGGGCAGTCGGTTTTCTCCTTTACTAGGTGCGGGTTGGATGTTCTCCCAAACCCAGCCATGGTGCAACCAACTCCCTCACCTTTGCACCAAGATAGTCAACCCCTTTTCACACTGAAAAACAATTCAATGCTACTGAAATGCCACTCAACGCTAATCATCATCTCTAGGCTGCATAATCTCTCAACGTCAAGGCGGGATTCTTCTTAGTCTCACGTTGTCACGTTCATAGGAGACCAAGCTGCCCCAAAACGAATTAAGGGCAGCGCACACACACACAAAGCACTGAATTGAGAACAGACCCTTGAACCGCAGGCCACATCTTCAGAAAAACAAATAGGACATGGTTAAAGCACAAATGACAAACAAATCCTGAACCTTGGTGCTCCTGCCGCGAAGTGGTAGTAGAACCTCCAATAACCTCTCAAGACTAGAGAGGCCCAGAAACATGAAATCCGTTCAATGGGCCTTTTCGCCAAGCACGTCGCTCTCACATTTTCTTTAGTCAAGAAAGGCGCAATGGGCCTTCCAAGAGAAGAGACCCCCTTTGCTCTTGCGCCTCTTCTCTCTCTCTCTCTCTCTCTCTTTGTGCTTATCCCTCTTGTTCGATGAGGTGAGTAAAACGACGGCGATGCGTCTGCCGCATGTCTGCCGCACCGTCGGCGGCCTGCGGCACGGTGGAGAAGCCAACCTTTAGCGGGTTTTGTTCTTCAATCACGATAGCCTCAGGCTACCTGAGTTCTCCTTTCGTTCACCCCCACTTATCTCAAGTCTTCCTCTTGGTTGCGGTCTCGTTTCTGTCCGCTCACTGGGCTTCTCCTCACTGGTCTCCGCTCCTCAAATGCAGATCTCTCACCTCCACTTCGAGCGAGCGATGTGCACACCTTCTCTCTTCTGCTTTGCGCAACAACGCACCGCTGAGTCCTTTGTGAGTTCGTCCCGTGACCTTGAAGCGATCTGAGAGACAAGTGCGAAAGCTTTGGCAAGGTCCCCCAAAAAAGACCAGAGACAAACAGGGGCAAGAGATACGACTTAAATCCCGGAAAGGTGATTTTCTAATCTCCTTCTGAGATCTTATGGGTAAATCACACATATTTATATTGTTTTACTATTTATTACTTTTTCCCGGTTCCTTAGTAAAGCAGGTCCAAGTAATGAAACACCATGGAAGAGTCACTTCATGAAGTGCTTGTTCCTTCCCCTCTGAGGACGCAGGTACGTCATGGTCCAGAATCCTTATCCATTCCATCATCGTGCTGCTCCTTGTCATCATTCTGGTCCTCATCCTCCCCACTCCTCAGTTCGAACAAAACACCACCACACCACACCACCCCTCCTTCCAAGTGTCCTAAGCCTTACATCCCACATTCACCCCACACATGTTCGACACAAAACCCACGCGACTCGCCACGAAGCCCGAGGCGCTGCCCCCCCTGGCTCTGAACCCCCACGAGTGACGCCTTACGTGGCACCCTGGATGCGACGAGATCTTCGCGTCGGGACGGACGGCGTGGTGCTCGTGGCGTCGTCCGACAGAGCCCGCGCGGTGTGGTGGACTCGGCTGGGACTGGAAGAGTTGGATAGAGAACTCCCCACTGATTCTGGTGGATAGATTTACCCACCCGGACTGGAAGAGTTGGATAGAAGAGTTATCATGTAGACTCTTGATTTTTCTAAAGCCCCCATATGAAGAGGAGCTTTCCAATTCAAATGGACGGAGAATGAATCGAGAGTCTACAATGTATGCGTTTCATCCCGATGGTCTCCCAAGATGGACGTCCCCTTTGAGGCCTTCATGATCCGATGTGGCCCGATGTTGAGACCCCTATGTAAAGTCTGGTGTGCTCGCTGGTGAGACGCTTCGAGGACATGCCAGTGGGAGGAACGCAATCACTTTCAGAGGCAGAGGGGTGAACTTGGAGTCCAGGAGGTGTACTTATTCGGAACATCGTTGTGAATGTGTGCATCATGGGTGTCCTCCACAACTGAGTAGCTTGAGCCGTTTGTGGCGATTTTGAAAGGGACCGTAAGCGGCTGTAGATATGTGGCAAACGCCAAGTAGTTTAAGGAACCTGAATCTTAAGCGTAGTTATGGGCTGTGAAGTGGGCTTTGACAGCTAGCGGAGCTGCGAACATGCAGTTGTGCTGTTCTTTGCACATTGGGGCGGAAGATCACTAAGTAAGCAAACATGAGACCCAATCAAACAAACAGGTTATTCCACCCCAACCCAGTGGCTTACTGGAATATCATTTTTGTGGAACACTTTCTTAGGACTCTGTATAATGAATGCTACTGTAACATGGGGAGAGTGACATTTGTTACTTTTGCCATGCCCAGACACTCCATGTATGCCGCTATGCCATATATGCCTACAAGTATGCCTACATTGACCCCCCAAAAACCACCCCAATGTAGGTAAATATGACAGTCCCATGGAGTGTCTGGGATGTTTTGCCATGTCTTGTGTTATCTTGCCTTTGTGGGCAGCATGTGGATCTCTTGGTTGCTGGGATTTCTTGGGTCCTAAGCCTCGGGGTCGAACATGGGGGAAACATGGGCAGGAGGGGTCTGGGGGTGGCATCTTTCAACGGCTACTTGAGGGGGGAAAAGGCCGCGTCACTTTGGAATACTGTTTGTAAAAGTGATCTCTCCTGGCCTTGCACTAGCAGAAAGCTGCAGCAAGCCTCGGTTTGTCCACGAACGGAAACATGTGTGCTTACTTGGGCACTTCTGGGAGTGACCAAACCAGAAACCGAACCACCAACCGATCAGTGAGAACGTTTGGAATATTCAGGTGGGAGCCACATGTTCTCGACTTCATGGGATCCCCCACCAAGGGATTGGGCATCAGCAAGTTGGCGCACCCAAGACATCGCCCGAAAACTCTTGAGCTCGCGCGCTGCGCGCGCGCGCGCGCGAAACGGAACTCGAATGACAGGACCTGGCGTCGAATGACATCGTTTCTTGGTCTCGAGCATGGCGGCTGGAACACTACCAGGCACCGATGCCAGCCTGAGGTCGACAGATCGATCATGAAAGTCGACGTGGGTTTACCCGGACAAGTCCACCGTGGTTTGCAGAGCTGCTTTGGTGAGGGGAAAACTTCAAAGGCTGTAGGCGTTCAATATATGATGAAAACACATGAACACGCTGTGTCTTTTTTGGGTGAGTGTGTGTGTGTGTGTGTGTGTTTTCATGCTATTGCCTACTATAATGCATTGGGTTTGTCCTATTACCTGTAACAGTCAGTAAACAATTATATCAATATTATCACATATTAGAGAAAGGCCTGCAACCCAACCATCATCATCCACTGAAACCTGGCAATAGGATAAACACAAACTAGTACACAAACTCTACATCCCTTTCGGGACCTGAACGTCGCCGGCCACCTCACTGCCGGTTGCGTTTCGAGCGAAGGCCACCCTGCTCCGCAATTACGATGACGTGGACCAGATCTGTAGTGGCGGCACTCAGCGAGAGAATTCTCGTCACACCTTCCCGGATCGGTCGGGCACCCGAAATTGCTGGATCGGAGCAACGCAGTTTCGCAACGCAGGCAACGCAACAGAAATGGCACATATGATGGGTGGATCACTTGTGCATGCAAGCGATATACCTATTTGATACTATTTGTATATAGAAGGCTTCCTTGGGAATAGTTTCACCTGTAGTAACCGGAAACCTGTTAGTATGTTTTTAGAAGCTTCTTAGTCATTAGTAGCAAGAAACTCTTTAGAAAGAAGGTTCTATATAATATACAACTAGAACCTGAGTGACCCCTGTTTTGGAGTCAAAACATGGTCTTTTCCTATCAAAACAGGGGGTCATATAGGTTCTATAGGCATATTTATTTGTGTCCTTGTGTCCAGTGTTCTGCATGTTCAATTCTTTCAGTCCCTGAAGCTGAGCCTGATCCGCCATTCGACACCCCCTAATACCTGCCTAGTTGAATTTCACGCAGAAGATGCCCAACGGGAACTCTTGATTGAGGTAGTTGCATGTATAGTATTGTATAGTCGTTCTTTTGAACTTTTAAACATAGGGCACCATCAAACAGACAAGAAATTAAAGAGGATAGACCTGAACACTCCATGTATGGTATGTATGCCTACATTGACCCGTGAAATGTGAAACTACCCCAATCTATTCCAGTCCCATTAGTCGTGTTTGGGAAGTTACTTCCGGGCCTTCACTGTCCGCCAACCGCGCCAGCCATTGAGGTCTTCACAAAGACGACCTGAACGGCTTCTTCCAGGACAACCAAGTCTCCGACGAGGTCGCCGGGAGAGGAGAACATCTCTCGTTCTGGACTGATGGTGGCCTCTCTTTGGCGCCGCTTTGGTGAAGGGCCAAAAGAGAGATCCAGGCCCGATGCCAAATATAGATAGTTATTTTTATAGATGGAGACTATTATGGTTTCAATAGTTCGTACCAGAGTTCATGAACCCTGCGAATTCGCTTTAGGCAACCGAACTGTAGACTGTTCAATCCTTCGCCACGGTGATTGCCGAAATTGCGGTGGTTTACCTTCTAATTATTACCCAAACCACAGGTTGGCAGAGCAGTGTATTTCTGATCATGTCAAGGGGCCCCATGCCTACATAACAAGCCATGCCTGGCTCTGAGTCAACTGACACTGTGCGCATAGAAAGAAAGAAGCGATTGAAAGGGTCAGTGAGTTGTGTCTTTCTCGCCCCCAACCTAGCCGGGGCAGGGAGGGAGGGAGAGAGAGAGAGAGAGAGAGAGAAGAAAAAAAAACATGGTTGGTTGGTTGGTTGGTTACTTTGTTAGTTAGTTCGTTCGTTCGTTAGTTAGTTGTATTTTGGGTCGAGGGGCTCTTTTGTGCTTCGTTTTCCATTCCTTGCCGTTGCCAGGCCGACCGGCTCGCCTTCACGCACGCGATCCAGGCCGGGGAATCCATGCCACCGCCCAGGGCAGAGCTTTCAGGGTCTTCTGATCTTCAAATCCCAAGGATTTGGGGGGGGAGGAGCTTATTTTTTTTTATGTGTGTTCTGCATCCAAACAAACTCAAAAAAGAGACTTCGTGGGGATGGGGTGGGGAGGAGAACAACTCGGCTCGAGAACTGATGCCGATTTGGAGTTAAGCCATGTGTGTGTGTGTGTCCACCCCTGGAAAAAGGGCTCCTTTCACCATTTCCATC